CGGCGTCGGACCGCGGTGAGACCGCGCCGCCCTCCGCGCCCGCCCGCGCCCGCAGCGTGAACACATGCGCACGTCCCTCGCCGCACGGAAACATACGCGCGAGCCGCGCAGAAGCCTCACATGCAGCGCGCATCGGCATGCTCGCGCCCTGGGCCGCCGACGGCCCGGTCGGGCGGGCGGCGCGGCCGCCGCACACCATCAGGCATGCGCACGAATACCCGCAGCACGCCGCAGCCCGCCGCGCAGCCCTCCCAGCCAAGGCTGCGCCTCCCAGCTGCACAAACAGGCGCACAACAGAGCACAGCGCACAGTGCACGCCGGCGCGCGCGCAGCACACACAGACTCACGCGCGATTCCAACACGCACACGCGCACAGCACGCGCGCACCGCACGCGAGCGCAGCGCCGCACACAAAGCACACTTGCCCACAGCAGCAGCAGCAGGCCTGCCACAATCCACATCTCACACACGCGCGCGCACGCACACTCCCCACGCCGGCGCACGCATTGGGCGTCGCCGAGAGGAACCAAAGGACACCGGAGCTGACTCCCCAAGGCATCGAGCGGTCTCCCTCCAGGCACCTCCAGGCAACAAGCTGGCTCCCTCCAGGCATCAAGCTGGCTCCCTGCAGGCATCAAGATGCTCCCTCCAGGCATTTGGCTGACTCCCCCCAGGCTACTCGACCGCGGTGGCCGAGATCGACCCGAGATCGACCCGAGATCGACCCGAGATCGACCCGAGATCGACCCGAGATCGACCCGAGATCGACCCGAGATCGACCCGAGATCGACCCAACGAAGCCCCCCTGGGGGGGAGATTGACTCAACTCAAGGCCCCAAAGCCCCCTCTCTGGGGGACCCCTCCCCTCCCACCCCGAGTGTCCGTGTCCTTCGCGAGTCACCGATGGGGAGCGGGGGGGGGGGGTGCGAAAGACGAACAGGGGAGGCTGGGGAGGGGGGGTCCACTCTGATGACTGCCGACCGCGGAGGGGTTTTGTCCCACAGGGTTTTACCCTCCGCGTGAGGATCGGCGCGGCGAGGGGGTAGGCTCGAATTCGCCGCGCAACATTTCACCCCCACAGGACCCCCCCCTCCCCCCCTCATGGTCCCACCACCTAGAACCCCAATCTTAGGCTTCGCACCCTCTCCTTGCGTGGTGTCCCCCGCTATGTGTCGCCGTCTTCGGGGCACGCTATCCTGTGTAGTCAGGGCAAGTGGGGGCGGGGGGCAGTCCCTTTGACGTATGTATCTCTGGGTTCTGTCTCTAGTCTCGGAGGGGGGCTTGAAGGTAAGAATATTTTATTTTTATTATGCGCCGGGTTAGAGCCCCTGGTAGGAAAACCGACGGCGTCTCCAGTTGATGGAATCTGGGTTTGGAGATGATGGAGGGAAGATAGCCTGGGCGATTGCCAACGGCTGAAAATGGCTCCGACAGGTATACACCAATCTTTCACCTGCGCCCGCCCCACCCCGCCCCGGCCGCGGGCGACGCCGCCGCCCGCCCCCCACCCGCACACGGCCGTCCTCCGTTCACACGATCGTCCTCCGCCCGTTCTCGCTGGGTTGACCATCCCTGACACTTGGCCAAAATGTGTGCAAAGCCACTTGCGCTGCTCTGCGCGGCCCTGCGGCCGGACCCCGTGGGCTCCGCGTGGCCTGAGAGACCGGGCCCGATGGCCTGACACGCGCGTGAGCCGCCGATTCCACGGGAGACGCCTCCGAAGAGCTCCGAGGCACTGATCGCGCCCACTCTCGACCCCGTACGTACGCAGGCCCTGAATGTCTGATTTCTGCTGAGCTTCAAGGCGTGGGACTCGCAACGATGGCCTCGCGCAACCCTCGCCACATCTGACTTGCCCACTGCATACCTCGCGCAGGCGCTCTGGACGCTGCTCCACCGGAGAAGCGGCATGAGGCCCTCGCCGCCCTCGCCGCTCTTCGCACTGCGCTGCAGCCCGCGACGCCGCCCGACGAACCGGCGCCGACCGCGCCGCCAGACATGTTCTTCGCCGTGGGCGACTCGTGCCGGCCCTCCGCCGGCGAGCACGCGATCGCTGCGCTGTCAATGCTCCTCTTCCTCGAGCCGCGGCCGCTCGTGAGCTGGCGCACGCGTGTGCTCGAGCAGAGAGAGGTGTACCGGCTCGCGCCGCACTGGGCGGCGCCTACCGACTGGCGCGTCGGCAGCGACCGGCCGCTCGATGTGCTCAACGAGGCGCTGCTCAAGGCCCGCTCGCACAAGGGCACGCTCGCCGTCGCCGTGCACAAGCTCGGCCTTTGCGCGTCGTGCCCGCCGCTGCGTGAGATGGAGACCTACCTGAAGAACGTCAGAGACGCGAACAGCGTCCTCCGCATCAAAGCGCTCAAAGGCCGCTACCAGAAGCGCAGCGTGCTGCTCGCCGTGCCCGCCGCCGAGCTGCTCGAGCTCTCCCGCGTGCGGCTCGAGCTGCTGCTCATGGAGGCTGCCGCCGCCGCGAGCCCGCCGCCCGTGAAGGAGATGAGGAAACCGGAGCTGCTTGCGGCTCTCGAGGACTCGCAGGCCAGGCGGCGCGCCGTCGGCGCGCAGCGCGACAAGCTTGCGCACCAGCTGCGGACGGCGGCGGCCCAGCGCGCCGCCGCCGTCGCGAAGGTGCAGGCGGCGACCAAGAAGAAGCTGGAGCGCGTCCGCGCTGCAGAGGCGGAGCGCGCTGCTGCCGTGCGCGCCCATGCCATTAAAGCCGCGGAGGGCGTGCTCGCCGGGCGGCTCACGCAGCTCAAGAACTGGCGCAACCGGGCGAACGCGCGCGCGCGCTCCGCGGAGGCCAAGCTCGACGAGGAGACCAAGAAGATTTCGAAGCTGCGCTCGCGCGCGGTCGACGCAGAGCACGAGGAGGCCGCGCTGCGGGCGCAGGTCGACGACCTGGTCGAGGAGAACCGCGGCACAGGGGCGGAGAGGGAGGCGGAGCGCGAGTCGCACAAGCGCGTGCGCGAGATGCCGACGTGGGACGCGCGGCGCGGCGCTGGCGCGGGACGCGGCCGGGCGATGTTGCACTGGACACACCGCGTCACGGTCTACGTGCTGCTCGCGCTGGGCACGCCCGCCTCCGCCTGCGGCAAGGCGATCGTCGCTGTAGTAAAGCGTGCGGCGCCCTGGCTCGCGCCGGTCGAGCCGACCGTCAGCAGCATTCGCGAAATGCGCTTCGAGCTGCGCCTCGTCGAAGAGGCGATGGCGGCGCGGCGTGTGGCTGCGGCGCATCGCGTGCGGCAACTCGGCTTTGACGAGACCACGAAATTCCAGGACCCGTCTATGGTGACGAGCGTCCTCGTCGAGCCGACGCCGGGCGCGGCGCTGCAGGTGATCATTCTGCGCGCGGCCTACTGCACGGGCGGCGGCACCGCCGAGCTTTGCGCGTCGGGGATCGAGAGCAAGTGCTTCGCTCGCTTGCGGCAGCACCTGACGGGCTGGCGCGACACGTGCAGGAGGCTGCACCCCGACCACGCCTGGACCGGTCCGGACCCGGAGCTGTGCGGGCTGCAGCGGCTCGGCGGCGGCGGCGCTTTCATCTCGGACACGTGCTCGTGCGCGCGGAAGACGACCGGGCTCCTCATCACCGAGGTTGCGCGGCAGGTCAAGGCCAAGTATGACCCGGCGGCGTGGGCGGCGCTCTCCGAGGCGGAGCAGGCGACCGCCATCACCGCGCACGCGACCCACTGCTGGCACCACATCCGGAACATAGTCCTCAAGGCGCAGTCGACGGCGCAGTCGGCTCACGTGAAGGAGGCGCTAAAGGAGGAGCTCGAAACCTTCGCCGCGTACGAGCGCATGACTACCGACTTTGACGCCGTGCTTCGCGCCGACTACAAGGAGCTGCACCACGGCGGCCGCTACCACAAGGGGAAGGGGAAGGAGTTCGCCGAGGCCATGCGCGACGCCCACCCGAAGGCTTTCATGATGCTGTTCGAGCGCGCCGAGGGCGGGCGACAGGACCTCGACTATGACGCTTCCGTGCCCATGTACGTCAACGTGTTGTTCGTGATCGCCTGGCTGCACCCGCGCGTCTTCTCCAAGTCGCACTCGAACACGCTTGAGGACTTCATCTACGTGACGCACTGTGCCATGGAGTACGTGGCGATGATGCGCGCTAACGCTGCCATCGACCTCCTGATCGCGCGGCCGTGGCGCTGGCTCGCCGGAAACGGCTCCAAGCTGGTCAACTGGTCGCCGTACTCTATGGGCGACCAGGTGCTCGAGCGCGTCGAGGAGCTCTACACTCGCGCCGCGTCCGACGGCTCGGTGCTGCTCAACCCCCGCACGTGGGACACCTTCTGGAAGCCGATCGCGGACACGCAGCCCGCGTTCGCCGCCTACCTCAAGTACACGTATGAGGAGGAGACGGTGATGTCGCCCGACGGCAGCACGCGGCACCTGGTCTACCAGCTCGCGCGCCGCGCCATCCTCGAGCCGACGGACGAGACGCGTATGCGGACGCGTGCTACCACGATCGAGTACTTGCAGGTGCAGGCGCGGGCAGGCTTGCGGAAGATGCACGACGAGCGCACAGTTCTCCCCTCCTATTTAACGTCGCAAGACGGCGCGCTCTGTGCCGCCAAGGTCGGCCGCGCGCACGCCGACACCATCGGCTGCGAGAACACCAACGACCGCTTCTCGGAGTCGGTCTTCGGCACCTTTGACCGCTCGCTCAAGCGGAACGAGGGCTGCTCGCGCGAGGCGGCGTCTGCGCTCGCACACGCGGCGCGGATGAAGTCGTTTGCGACGGGCGACGCGGTGCGCCACCGCAAGGCGCTCGACGCGCCGTCGCCCGACGCGTCGCTGGGCTACTTTCACGAGCTACCGTGGCAAGAGCAACACGCTCTGGTGGAGTGGGCTCGCCTGGCGCAGCGCCCGTCGCGCGCCGTCGACCGCGCGGATAACGCCCAGTACGCCGCGTATGTTAAGGCGAAGGCCAAGACGGCGTCGCAGGAGGAGCTGAAGGCGCTGGTCACGGAGTGGGCGTACGGCATGTCCTTCTTTGAGCGCTGGCAGGAGCGGGGCGTGCGATCCGTCGCGCAGCTGAACGCGGGCCTGCGGAGCATCTGCGCGTGCCGCGCCCCGGCCTGCCGATCGGGCTGTACGGCTAATCAGGCCAAGCTGGATTGGCTGCGAGAGCAGATCGAGATGCGCACGCGCGGGTTGCAGTGGGTCGAGTTCGCGGCGCGCTGGTCTTCCAGCACGGACGAGTACGTCGGCACCGTCGAGGAGCTCACGGGCCACCTCAAGGAGCTGATCGAGCACGAGCGCGACCTGCGCGAGAACGACGAGCTCCCCGACGTGGCGCCGCCGCCCGTCGTCAGGCGTAAGACCTTCAAGCAGCTCGGCACGCCCACTGCGCAGGCCGAGGTGCTGATGGCGGCGCGCGAGGAGCTCACGCCCGATGAGCTGCGCGAGGCGGCCGAGGACGAGCGCGACCGGCTGGAGGAGGCGGGCGAGATCGACCACGTCGCCGACGCGCAGCCCGAGCGCCCTCCAGATTTTGCCAGCTTGCTCAACGTCCACCTCGAGGTGCGCTGGCCGTATCGCGTGCCGGACCAGGCGAAGAAGCGCGGCTACAAGACCCACTACATCTGGGCGGAGGGCGAGGTGGTCGAGATTGCCGACGGCACGACTACGAAGCGCACGCCGCAGTGCAAGACGGTCCTTGCGTGGGGCGCGGTGCGCATCAAGTGGCCGAAGGACAGCCGCTACGACGAGGATGAGTCGTTCACCTGGACCGTCTTGGTCGAGGACTCGTGGCGCAAGGAGAAGCACCTCGGCTGGCGCTTCGCCAAGCCGGAGCTGGCGCGGCGCGGCGCGGCGGCACGCGCGGCAAAGCGCGCACGGGCTGACACCTCGTAGTGGGCGGTGCGCCACGGTGGGGTCACGGCAGGGGGTGCTCACACTGCGCGGCCGCTGCCAGAGCGCGAAATTTCGCGACTTCGTGCTCGTGTATCTTTAGTCAGAGACATGTCTGGAGGATAAGGAGTATAGCAGTGTGATCCCCGGCATTAGTACAGTCATTGCAGTGCGCTTTGTGGTTGTTCCGGGCATATTTTCATCTGACCCCTCTGGCCTACCATGGGCTCTAGCCGGGTTCGCAGGGTGGCACCCTAATCTCTCTCCACCACTATGTCAAAACCCCCCGGTGACGCCACAGATGAAATGCTCCACTGGGCCCCCGGAACGCGCCTGCGCGGCGGCGAGCAGTGAAGAGGCGCGGAAGCCGGATTTTTTTACTTTGGGACGCATTTCGGGCTCCGTACTGGTTGACGCAGAGCCGCACGCACCGACCGGCGCCGTTTGCGACCACGAGGGCGGATGCTGGCCATCCCGGGCTCTGTGCACATCGGCAGCACGCGCTCCACGCGCTCCGCTATTCAGATCTTGGCGAACCACCTCGAGAGCGCCGTTTTTATCTCGTGCAATCTCGAGCCGTGGAGATTAGGCCGAGATCGCTTTGAGCTGCGGGAGATGTTTTGGAGATGCAGCTGCAGTCACACGGACCCGCGGGGCGTGCGCAGCTCGCGACGGAGATGTTTACAGAGCCCGGGCTCGCTGCGAAGCGATGAGCGGCGCCCGAACGGCAGGGTAGCGTGTCGACCTAGACTGAACGCGACCGAGCAGCAAGGTACTAGGAGTGGCAGCCCGTGACAGCACCGCGGCCATACGCTTGGGGAGCGGTAGAGCACCGGGGCACAGCTTCGTAGCACGTAGCACGAAATCTGAAACGCAGCTGTCAAAAAAGAAAGAGTTTTTTGTTTTTCTTTTTCATGTACGTGTTTTTCTTTTTGAAGTTGTGACATTTTAATATAAGACTTGTAAATGTACTAAACACTCCCCACGCATCTCCCCACACCTCTCCGCCCCCCCTCTCATCACTAGTTCTCTCTCTCAGAGGCGGAGGTGGAGGCGGAGTCAACAGTGACACGACACGGACACGACAGTGGCATGACACAGGGACACAGACAGGCACGACAGGGGCAGGACAGGGACATGAGGCGGAGGAGGCTGGCCGCAGAGGCCCACTCAAACCGCCAGGCCAAAGGAAGAGCGCCAGGAGCGGCCGCTACGCTCCTGCCCGGCACCCCGCCCTCGGAGCTCCACCCGGAAAGAGGTCGACGCGTGGCTGCTGCGGCTGCTGCTGCGGCTGATGGCGCTGCTGCCGCCCCCGCCCGCCTTGCCGCCCTCCTCTGCGACGGCGTTCGCGCCCCGCCCGCCGCGCCAGACGTGCGAGAGCAGCAACAGCGCCGGCCGGACGAAGCGGAGGAGCAGCGCCGCCGCGGCGAGAGCGAGCGACGCCTGCAGGATGAGGGGGGTCGGCGGCGCGTCGCGCGGCAGCGAAGCGCGGTACAGGCCCTGCACGGCGAGCTGCGACGCGCTGAGGAGGCCGGCCGAGCCGGCGCAGAGGAGGACCAGCGCCGCCGACGGGAGCGCGTCGAGCGGCGCGCGCATGGCCCCGCAGCGAGCCGCCCGCGGCGACGAGGCCGCCATAGCCCCCGCGGCCGCCGGCCAGCGCAGTAGCCGGAGGAGGTCGAGGTTGAGGGGGGACAGGCCGACCAGGAGGACGGCGAGCCACCGCGGCGAGGGCGCGGCCCCCGGGTCCGCCGCGGAAGCGGAAGGGTCCGCCGCGGAAGGGTCCGCCGCGGAAGCGCCCAGCGGATGGCCCGGCGCTCCCGCGGCGACCGCCGCAAGGTTGAGGCGCGGCACCCGCCCCTCGGTACGGCGCGCCGGCGGGCGGCGCGCGCGGGCGAGCCAGAGGCGTCCCGGACGAGCCCCGCGAGCGAACCAGTGGCAGCCCGCGACGAGAGCGGCGGGGGCGGCGAGGAGGAGGGCGAGCGCGAGGGAGGACGCCATGAGCAGGGCGCAGGACGCCGGATCGGCCGCCGCCGCGCGCAGGGAGAAGGCTTCGCCCGCCTGCCGCTCGAGCGCGGCTGCGATGGCGCCGCCCCATTCGGCCCACACGCCACTCGCCGCCGAGGAGGCGCCCACCCCGCCCTCGTCCTCCGCGCCCACGAGGGCGGGGCGGACCGCCTCGTAGAGCAGCCTGCGCACCGAGAGGGCGTGCGCCGCCATCTCGAGCGCGGCGAGCGGCGGCAGCGCCACCGCGCCGAGCCTCGGCCGCCGGAGCGATGGGAAGCGCACGGCGAGGAACTGCAGCAAGACGGTGACAGAGAGGGTGAGGAGCATCACAAGGGCCTCGACGCCCGCCGGCGTGTCCGAGTCGGCCACCTCGCGCAACATGTCGGCGTACTGCTCGAGGAGCGGCGGCGGCGGCGGCGAGGACGGGGAGGTCGGCGGCGGCGAGGAGGGCGGCGGCGGCGGCGAGGGCGGCGGCGGCACCGACGGCGGCGGCGGCGGCGGTGCCGACGGCGGCGGCGGCGGCGGTGACGGCGGCGGCGGCGACGGGGAGGGCGGCGGCGGCGCTGACGGCGGCGGCCTCGATGGGGGCGGCGGCGGCGGCGGGGGCGGCGGTGGTGAGGGCGGCGCCGGCGCGAACGGAGGGGGCGGCAGTTTCGGCGGCGGCGCAAACCGGCACGAGCCGTCGTCGTCGCGCGCGAGCCGGTCGTGGTTCGTGGCGGCCGGGTTCGTGCAGCCGCTGTACGAGCTGCACGACCCGTCGTCTTGGGTGGCGTTGGAGCTGTAGCGCGGGTCGTTGGACCGCGTGCATCCGGGCACGTAGCATGAGCCGTCGTTGACGGTCGCCCACGAGCGGTAGGTCGGCGACGCGGAGTCGGTGCAACCGCCCCTTGGCCATTCGCAATCCTGCGCGCCGCCCTGCGTCGCGTTTGAGTTGTAGTTGACCGCGCTCGGCGCCATGCACCCGACCACGACCTCGCCGGCAGCGTGGCCGCCGCCGCCGCCGCAAAAGCCGTCGCTGACCGTCGCCGCCGAGTCAAAGCTAGGCGAGCGCGTGTCGGTGCAGCCAAAGATGGCGCACGAACGGTCGTCGGCCGTCGCCCAGGCGGCAAAATTGGCCGCTCGCTCGTCGGTGCACCCAAAGACGTGCGGCACGCACGCGACGCCCTGGCCCGCCGCCTCGACGAGCCTGTGCCGCTCGCCGCAGAAGACTGGGACACAGGCACCCCCGCCGCTCACAGCGGCGGCCGCGTCGAAGTTCGCGGAGGAAGAGCTTGTGCAGCCGCGCAGTGAGAGGCCGCACGTGCCGTCGTCGAAGGTCGCGTCCGGGCTGTAGGCTGGATCGGACATGTTGGTGCAGCCGCCGAACCGGCACGCCTGCCCGGCCGCGCCAAAGTTCGCGGCCCCCGAGTCGGTGCAGTTCCCCCTCCCGCGGCACGCGCTCTCGTCGTGGAAGTGAGCGCCAGCGCTGTAGGCAAGGTCCGTCGGCGTTTTGCAGCCGCCGTAGCGGCAACTGCCGTCGTCCTTCTCCGCCCGCGGGGCGTAGTTGGATGCGGCAGCATCCGTGCAGCCGCGGGCCACCTGCTTGCACCCGGCATCAAAGGTGGCGCTCGAGTCGAAATCTGGTGCCGAGGGGTCGCGGCAGCCCGGCACAAAGCACACACCGCCACCCTGCGCGTCGGGGTCGTAGTTGGCAGCGCGAGGCTCTTCACTGCACCCGTGTGGCAACCAAACGCATTCATCCGGCTCAGAGACGGTCGTGCCGGGCGCGAAATTCGCGGCCGAGGGGAACGCACAGCCAGGCCGCACGCACGAGCCGTCGTTCTCCTCGGCAGCCGGGTCGTAGTTTTGCGAGGCCGAGTCAGTGCAACCCCGCACAGGGTAGATGCAAGCGGTGCTGTTGTGGAGGTTCACCGCCGCGCTGTAGCTGGTCGCGAGCGGGTCGGCGCAGCCGACCACCGGTGCCGTGCACAAGGCGGGGTCGGGCTCGGTAGCGAGCGGGTCGAAGGTGAGCGCGGCGGGGTCGGTGCAGCCGCGGATGGCCCAGGTGCAAGCCGCGCCCTCCATTGTTGTGGCCGTGTCGTCGAAGTTGACCGCCGAGCTCGCCATACAGCCAGACACTCGCGGCACGCAGCTCCCCTCAACGTTGGCAATCGGATTGTAGTTGAGCGCGGTCGAGTTCATGCAGCCGATGACATCGTACCAGCAGCGCCCCGAGAAAGCGACCGCCTCCGAGTCAAAGTTGCTCGCCAGCGAGTCGGTGCAGCCCGTGGAGATTTCTGGCCTTGGCACCGGCTCCTCGGCGAAGCGCCGGCGCGTCGCGATCTCTCTCTGCTTGCCGGGCGCCCCGAGTCTCGCGCGCGCGCGCAGGGGGCTGAGCACCTCGTCGAGGGACGCTACCCCTGTGCCCGCCGCCTCACTCTCTCGCCCAGCCGCCGCCTGCGCGGGCGAGCCGGCCGTCGCTTGCAGCGCGCGCCTGCCTCCTCCCCCGCTGCCAAGGCCGAACATGTCGAAGAAATCTGCGTTGTTATCGGCGCACCCCCTGGCGAAGCTGTTGCCGATGATGTCGTTCAGGAACGGCTGCGTGTTCAGCGCCTCGGCCGCCTCGGTGTAGAGGTCCTCAAGGGCAGCCTTGCTGGTCACGTCGAACCAGCCGCGCGTCGTAAAGTTGGCCAAGGTGCGGTAGAGCACGTCTCCCACCTGCACGAGCGAGTTTGCGGCCACGCCAACGCCTTCACAAAGGGAGGCACAGGAAGGCCAGCAGAGCTCGTCGCTGGCGCACTTCAGGACGCTGAAGGCGCAGCCGGCGCCGAGCATGAAGTCGACGTTGCGCTGGGTCGCGAGCCACGCAACGACGGCCAAGTCCGTGGACCCATCGAGCAACAAGCGCAACGCGTCGAACTCGTTGACCAGCTGCGGCTGCTTAGAGTTCGGGAAGCGACAAGCATCGATTCCTAACCCTGTGAAGGGCGGCGCCTGCCCTTCACAGCGCGGGCCTTCCACAGAGATGCACGGCCGTGACGAGCCACTCGACTCGCACGGGACGCACGGGAGCAGGTTCTCGCACGTGAGCATCGAAGCGTCCGCCACCTCGACGCTCGTAGCGTTGGGCCGCAGCAGCGGCGCCGACGCCGCGGAGAGCGGCGTGATGATTCTACTCCTGTCGCCATTACCCCCCTTGATGCTACCCTCTCCGATGAGGAGCGATGACTCGAGGGGCAGGTTGAGCGGCCTGTTTGCTAGGTTGTCCCTGCAGCGGCCGGGATTGTCACCCAGCGCAGCCGGCTTCACCCGCACGAGCTCGTCGGCAGCGCCAATCTCGACAAAGAAGGCGCCGTTGAAGTTGCTCGTGCCGCTCCGCTCGGTGGGGAAGCCGAGCTCGTTGACGCTCGAGTCGAGCAGGAGGTCGCTATTCTGGTCGACGAACACCTCGCAGTTCGTGATGTAGCCGAACACCGCGATCTCCCCGTCCGCGAAGTTGTACTTGCAGAGGGCGGCGTTGTTGACGTCGACATCCGGGTTGAAGTTTTTGGCGATCGAGTCCAAGCAGCCTTCGGTCGGCGGGGCGAGCGGCGGCGATGGGAGCGACGGCGGAGCGGGAGGTCTCGCGACGCAGCTGCCATCGTTGAAGTCGGCGTCCGGGTCGTAATTCGCGTATTGGCACGAGTTGTCGTATTTCGTGGGGTCGACGCAACCGGCGGGGTCGAGGCAGCCCGGGTAGCGGCACAAGCTGTCGTCGCAGACCGTCGAACTGGCCAAGAAGTTGCTCGCGTTCGAGACGCAGCAGCCGACAATCTTTGGCCGGCAAGAGCCGTCGTCGAGGCAAGGTAGCCCTGCTGCGGCCCCGCACGTGTCGTCGTAGTTCGGGGCGTCCGACTGGGCGCAGGCGAAGCGGAAGCAGGACCCATCGTCGGAGGTCGCGTTCGGCATGTAGTTTGCCGCGTTCGAGTTCGTGCATCCAAACGTGGGAAAGTCGCACGCGGTGCCGTTGGTGTCGACGACGACGGACTGGTTGTTGGCGTTGGTGCGGTCGTCGTAATTGTCGGCGCGCGGGTTGGGGCACCCAAAGTAGAGGCACGAGTCGTCGTCTCGATTCGCCAGCGGGCGGTAGTTGAGCGCCGCGGCGTCCGTGCACCCGAGCACCGCGTCCACGCAGCTGCCGTCGTCCACCGTCGCCTCGGAGTCGAAGTTGAGCGCGCCGGGCCGCGTGCAGCCGGGCACGCGAAAGATGCAGCTACCGTCGTCCGCGGTGGCGTCGGCGAGGTAGTTCAGGGCGCTCGAGTTCGTGCATCCAAACGTAGGAAAGTCGCACGAGCCGTCGTCTCGATTCGCCGACGAACGGTAGTTGAGGGCCAGGGAGGCCATGCAGCCAGGAATCTCCGGCACGCACGAGTCGTCGGGCACGGTGGCCAACGAGTTGTAGTTCACGGCCGACGAGTTGGTGCATCCCTCCACGGTGTACTCGCACGGCGCGTCCGGGTTGGGCTCGTTCGCGAGCGGGTCGTAGTTGTCCGCGGCCGGGTCCTCGCAGCCGGGCCGCGCCTCCACGCAGGAGCCGTCGTCCTCGTTCGCCGCCGAATTGAAGTTAACGGCGGTGGCGTTCAGGCAGCCCGGCACGGGGTAGACGCACGAGTCGTCGAGGATCTGAGCCTCCGAGTCAAAATTGAGGGCGGCCGTGTCGACACAGCCTTTCACCAGGAAGACGCACGGGTTCTGCGGGTCGTCCGTGTTCGCGTCGGGCCGGTAGTTTGATGCCGACGAATTTTGGCATCCGAGGACTGCAAACACGCACGAGCCGTCGTACACGGTGGCCTCCGAGTTATAGTTCAGCGCCTGCGAGAAGACGCAACCGTACACCTCGAAGGCGCACGACCCGTCGTCAACGTCCGCGAACGAGTTGTAATTGTCGGCGCCTGCGGGAGGGCTCGGGAGGGTGGGTTCGGGTACCGTGGGGTAGGGGAGGGTAATTGTCGGTGCCTGCGGGAGGGCTCCACCTCGTGAGCTGTCTTGTGTGCTGTGATCTGTGCGTCCAGCAGTCCGGACCCAGTGATGCGGCCGGTGACAGCGTGCCTCGAGTCGGCTCCCGAGCCAATCGTGTGCAGCGTGTGTGTGTGCGCGTGTGGGCCCGTCCTCCATGCTCGGAGGTGTGTCTGACTGACTGACTGACTGCGGGAGGGCTACGGCGCGGGCTAAGCTCCAGGCGAGGACAGCGGTGCAGCATCGCGCCCCCCAGAGTGCACTCTCGGCCAATCTCGCGTGATCTCGGCTACATCTCGCTTGTATTCGTGCAGCCAAAGACGGGGAACTCGCACGAGCCGTCGTTGACGGTCGCCTGGGAGTTGTAGTTGGCGGCGGAGGACGCGGTGCAGCCGCGGATGTTTGGAATGCACGAGCCGTCGTCGTTCGTCGCGTTCGGGCTGTAGTTCAGGGCTGTCGAGTTGGTGCACCCGTCGGGGAAGATGCACGTCCCGTCATCCACCGTTGCGTTCGAGTTGTAATTCACGGCGAGGGGCGACGTGCAGCCGGAGACGTTGGCGACGCACGGGCACGAGATCTCCGCGTACGAGATCGGAACAGCCTCGCACCCCGCCTCCGCCTCGGGGAAGAAGTTCAGGGCGGTGCTACGAGTCAAGAGCCACGTCGTGATTCATTCCGTCACGGATCGACCGAGTGCTACGCGCTACCATGTTGACTCAAGTGCTACGAAGGAATGAGTGCTACGGGCTGGGTAGGACCTGTCGAGGCAGCCGTACACGGTGAACGTGCAGCTGCCGTCGTCAACCCCAGCGAGGGAGTCGTAGTTGTCCGCCGCGGGGTTTGTGCAGCCCACCTTGGGCGGCGGCGGGGGCGAGGCCGGCGGCGGCGGCGGCGACGGTAAGACCAGCGGCGGCAGAGGCGGGAAGGGTGGAGGTGGAATGGCCGGCGGCGTCGGCGGAGAGGGGGGCGGTAGCACAGGCGGCGGTGACAAAGGCGGCAGCGGCGGCGACGGCGGCGGCACAGAGGGCGGCGGCGGTGGCGGCGACGGCGAAGCCGATGGCGGCGGTGGCGGCGGCGACGGCGAAGCCGACGGCGGCGACGAGGGCGGGGCTGGCGGTGGCGGCGGCGCGGGCGAAGCCGACGGCGGCGGCGAGGGCGGGGCTGGCGGCGGTGGCGGCGAGGGCG